GCGTGGGGGGAATCGGTACCCCCTCATGGGGAATCGGTTTCCTAAGTGTAAAATTCAAATATTCGACCGTTGAACAGTGGGGGAAATCGATACCCCATGGGGGGAATCGGTTCCCTCCTAGCATACTGTTATTTCTCAGAGAAAAACCATTCAGGGGGAATCGGTACCCCCTTGGGGGGAATCGGTTCCCTCTGGACAAACTGTAATTTTTGGCTTTGAAACGGTTCAAAATACTTTGTAAAATTGTTTTGAAATTATTTTAAGATTAAAACTTAATTTTACACTTGAGTAAGGATTAAAAATGACATTTGAAAGATTTGGAGTAATATTTTGATATTCGAATAATTATATCGAATATACTTAGAAAATCTTTTTGGAAAATCTTAAAATTCATTTATCTTAATTTGTTATATCGAAATATCAAAATGTTTTAAACATACATACTTTAGGTTGGCTAAAGTTTGGTCTGATAAAGGGAAAGAGATCGAGTGTTTGATAAATCGAGGTAAAATCTAGGCTCCGACGGTGGTAAAAACAATGGAAGCAAATGAGCGTATGGAAACTTCAATGTTTGTTCATGACTTTGATCGAATCGGACATACTTTTGTTGTAATCGCATGCATATGTCGCAACGAAGGAGCAGATCAAGAATCATTTACTGTTAATTTACGACAAAGATAGTGTGATTGTGACCGCTTTCAGGCGTGGAAATATACGTGTGCTCATGCAGTCGCTGCATGTATGCATACTGGAATCAATTCATACACTTATGTTGATGAGTGCTTTCACCTACATAGGATATTAAATATATACAACCATGAGTTCAGTCCGATCCCAAATGAATCTTATTGGGAGAATCGAGATCATGATGAATGGTTGCCAAATCCTCTACTTCGTAAAAGTCCGTCGGGTCGGCCGGAATCTACTCGTATTCATACTAGTATGGATATCCATATTAGAGAGAAAGGTCAACCGAAGAGATGTGGATTATGTAGAGGTGAAGGTCATTCAAAAAGAAATTGTCTAAACCTTCCACGATACAGGCCTCAACAAATCTTATTTCTATTTGATAATGGAATTGTATTTGTTTATAAATTGTTATATTCAATTCAATTATTCGAATATATATATATATATTTATTTATTACTTAAAGTTTAAATGGTCATTGCTACTCTAGATAACTCTTAACCATTTGACATTGAACGCTTACGCATATATTCCTGGTGCTTAACCAATGACCTCAAGGAATATCAATATTCCTTTACTACTAAGGTCGCTCGGTTCATACATCACATCATCATTTAATACATTATGTATCGCATCATTATTTTAAACACACAAAACTTGTCACATCGACAATAAGTATTAATTATTAGTCAACTATTAGTTTACATTTAATTAGAGATATTTTTTCTCAAAATAAAATATTACGAGTTAAATTATTTAAAAAAATAGAAATTAAAATGAATATTTTATCAATTAGAGACATTTCTTTTGGTATTATTCCTTTTTTCTTTACAAAACCTCTCCAACAAATACACTTATACCATACACCACTAAGCATCAAGGCATCAAAGAAAACTAGGCAAATGAGTATTTCTAAACAGAGAATTTCCAACGTAAAAGCACTATTTTTCAGCTTTTCCGTTTAAGTCAATAATCACGTTTTAAATTTAAATTTTTGACTAACGATGAATAGTTTAAAAATAATTTTACGTTTCAAACGAAATTTTAGGCCAAAATTACATTCATAAGTATTTTCAAACAGTTCGTAACCAAACTCACCATGACAGAATGTTATCGTTGCTAGTTCCTCATTTGTTGCCATTAATCTTCCCACTCTCGAGCAGTCATCAGATTCCTTCTTTGATCATTGTTCAACATGAAACAATATGGCCTAATTTGTCCAACTCTTTGTCAAAGATGACATATAGGCTCACAAGACTCATTTCCCTCTGACTTAGGATTAAAAACATCAATCTTTGCGACGACGTAACATTTTATATTAAAAAGGAGAATTTATAAAATTTTAAAGATAAAAATATATTATCAATAACATAATATAGAGATAATATCTAAATTATATGAGAATTTAAAATTTTCAAGTCACGATTATCCTTACCAACCATCTCGGTACATCCTTATCTGATAATGCTCCTTTCTACATCGTTCCAACAACTTCTAGTACAAAATATGATAATGTCGTAAAATATGACTAAAGAAAATATACCCAAAACAATTTACAGTCGTAAACAACAATTGGAACAAGTTTAATTAATGGGGAGTTCCTAATGCAAAGAGATTGGAACAACATCTGAAAACAAATCATTTCCATGTTATGTTTTTCCTTTACACTTGGAGCATTTCTATCGACACACAAGTGGTCAAAGATCATGCACAAAAATGGGGGTGGTTGTAGATCCTGTGGCATATGCCTTGAGAAACAAGTCAAAACAGATTAAACAAATCCTTGAATTGGTAGTGGAAGGGGAAGGAAAGGATTGAAAAAAGGGGTCCCATGGGAGGGTAGTATTGCCTTGCCTAGTTATGGGTCACGTTTGGCCTTATTACATGATTTTTTCTTTTGCAGCAATGGCCGGTGGGTTCGATCTGTTCTTGAGTGGTGTCTGTTGGTACGTGTGCAGATAACTAGATTCGCATGTGCGGAGCTCGAGTTACCGTCCGGCACGTGCGAAGCATATGTGAGGGAGAGAGATGTGTTGTTTGTCTACTTTGCTTGACCCTACTCAACAATCACTACCATTATTGTCAACTTCGGTTTCGAGCATTTTTCACCCCTCCAATGTATCTTAGTCCACAATAATGCCTTCATATAGTGGTAGGACTGTTAACATACATTCATGGTGATCGGAAGGAATCTATATCTTAGCTTGTTAGGTTCAACTTTAACAAAATCCTAAAATATTAAAGCATATTCACTGATCTTTTGATTTATATAGAGTAGGTACGGATATTATTGTTATCAGGTTTAGTACCAAAAATATTTAAATTATAACTTTTTTTATTTGTGTGCCTAATTTTTTCGATTAATAAGAGGGTTTAACGTTATCATATTAAGTGCCTACGTTGTAACGATCATTTAAAAAATACTGGCAACCACTCAAAATGCAACACATGACACATTTGTAAATTTTTAAAAATTTTATTTAAAAAAACATAAAAGCATTATTATTTTTTTTAAAAAAATCTCAAAATATTTCTAAAATTTCAAAAAAAAAATCCCAAAACCTAGAGAATCAACCCCATTCGTCCGTCTTCCATTGCTCTCCCTCACCACCCCCACCTCGCCAAATGTCGACCCACTCATCACCAGTCGTTACTTATAGCTTCAATCTCCCAAAATCCTTAAACCAAAATCTCTAAATACAAACCCTAAATCCCTAAATCTCAATACGCATCCATCGCAATCAACAGATGAGTGATTGGCAGATGATCGGTGGGTGAGTGGGTGATTGGCGACGATGATGGTGGTCGATGACGGAATTGAAGGTCTTGGGGTATTTTGTAGAAAAAAATGAAAAGTTGAGGTTTTTTTTTAAAAAATTATGAATTTCATTTTTTTAAAAAAATTAAACGAAACAAAAAAAATCAGGTCACATGTTAAATAATAATTGGTTAACTTATTTTTTAATGGATTCATTTAACAGCGATTAGGGTGTATACACTTAAAAGGATAAATATTGCCGTTTATAACGTTACACACCTGAATAGAAAAAAAAACGTATAGTTTGTGAATTTTTTTTTTATATTAGGCCCGGCTATTATTTTGGTTTGAAGTGATTTAATGATAAAATGGTAGCTTGTTAGGTTATTCTCTTTGGAGTCGCCGCAGTTAAATAATAGGGTATTGCCATGGAATTTTCTTTGATGAATTTGTATATTATTGTGATCTTCATTAGCCTCACAAAAGCAATTTCTTGATTGATACATCTGTGATCTTCATTCTCCTTACAAAGAAAGTCGGTTACACCATTTTCTGCCATTGAAATCGACAGTTAAAAAGCTTAAAGAACTATCACTTTTGCCTTGAAAATGGAAGTGTTGATCATTTATGCACTACTGAAACATAATTTTCATGTCAAAGAGAAAGATCACATTGTGTCTGTGGTACAATGCAAAACGTTATTCAACCCCATTGTTTTCATATGCCAAAAAAGGTTCATAAATCATATGATACGTTGGGGTGAGTATTTGATCGAATCGAATAATGTTTTTTGAATTTTTCAAGTTGATGAGTCTTATTTACTAACTTAAATTTTATTTGAGTTTTTTTTTTTCGAGTCGAATGAAGTTGTTCGAGTTGATGCTCATATGCAATAAACATAAATCATGCAGATTTGAGGTACTCGACTCAAGCTTGAAAATTCGAGTTATTCTAGTTCTTTTTATAACTCAACTCGAATTTGAATATTTGTCAAGTCGAGTTTTTAACATCGAACCAAGTAAAAAAATCTATCTTTTCAAATAGAATCAAGTTGATACACTAAATTTTCCTTTTTTTATGAAATGTTTTGAACTCACAGCTGGTTTCTGGTTTTTGGTTTTCACGCAGAAACAAAAGGTTAAGTGTCAAGGGAGCCTTATATTTTGGTTTGTGGGGCATCAAATGCACTAAAGAAAGCTGCCAATGGTTCACTATTTTCACACAAATTTCAATACTAAAGATTGAAGATCATATATTGATTTTGTGTGTTCCAGATTCCAATTTTCTTCTTGACCATCCTCAATCACCATCACCTTTAAAACTCCATATACATTAAAAAAAAAACCAATGGTTTTAATCAGTGGTAGAGCCTTCCACTCATAACTTGATAAACCTAACCCCTACCTTTAATTTACATCAAGAAACATGAGCAAATGATATGTCTCAATTACTTAGTGGAGAGTCCCTTTTGCCTTCAACATTATTCATTTATTTGGTGGACTTGTTGCCTATAAAAGGATAAGATAATTCCCCAAAACACATCCAAGTCGTGACTTACAACATATACTTCTCTCCTGTTGCTTTTCTTTTCTTTGCCGAGTATCAGAAAATGGTCAGTTCTTTTGAGTTCCAATAACACTATGAATCATATTACCTTGTTAATCAAGGCATCTGAAATGTTTTGTTCATGGAATCCCAGGACGGAAAGATAAGTTGGACGGTGGCGGACGCTGTGGACTACAAGGGTTTCCCGGCCGACAGGTCGAAAACCGGAGGTTGGGTTCCGGCTGCACTTGTTCTTGGTATGTTTTTGATGCATCATTCATCATTTCTTGTTTTGGATACACGAACATTATGGTAGACATTCAATCATGCATCCACCAGAGCTGTTGCCCCATATAACTTCTAAGATCGATCATGCATGTCAAAAGCTTTGTGCATGTTCTCCTGTTGGCTTTAATTTTTTTTCTCGACAAGCATTTAAACATCCCATGTGACTGCATTTATTATCGTATCTATAGCAAGTATAAACATCAGTCAAAATACAACAGTCTTGGTAGAAAAATACAAAAGAAGGTGATATTCCATCAGAGCAAAAAGCAGCTAGTTCATGCAAGATGAAGGCTTGATGGAGGCTTTCAAGTCATAATAATAAAATTTATAAATATTTAAGGGAACTTAAACAAAAAGTTAGAAGATTCAGCTATAATACATGACACCCTTCTAGAAATTAAAAAAGAAAAGAAAAGAAAATTGTTACTTTACGTTACAACTGTAATTTAATACTATGATTATAAATAAAAAGAGTTACTTATTTTAAAAATCCAATTATTTTCCGAGTGGTAAAATCGAGTTTTTATTTTATAAACCTTTATTCCATGCCATTTTTCTGCTTGGAGTTTGGTGGGATAAGGAAGATATTTATCTGGGACCATTCATGCATGTAAAAGGCTCTGAATTATTGAGATTTTCTCAAAGCCAATCTGCTTTCCACTATCATTTTTTGTGGTATTTAATATTACTCCACTTTTACAGCATCATGATGTAGGTTTCACTTTCTTCAAACATTCCTTATCCACCAAAAACAAAAAACAAAAAAAGGGGTTTTCTTTTGTTTATTAACTTAATTAAAGTACAATAATTAACAAGTAAATTCATCAAGTTTCACGTGGTATCTATTTCATAGGGATTGAGATCTGTGAGAGGCTTTCAACGATGGGGATTGCAGTTAACCTTGTGACATACTTGGTTGGGGTGATGCATTTGCCGAGCTCAACATCAGCCAATGTTGTGACAGATTTCATGGGGACATCGTTCCTCTTGTGTCTGCTCGGAGGCTTTCTCGCCGATTCGTTCCTCGGCCGATACAAGACGATCGCCGTGTTTTCCATCATACAAACACTGGTGGGTGTTGAAGACAATTGTTTACAATTTCAATCTTCTCTGCTGAATGTTCGGGTTTTGATCTGTGATGGATGATGACAATGGTGATTTTTTTTATAGGGGACTGGGGCATTAGCAATAGCTACAAAGCTGCCACAACTACGCCCTCCACCATGCCATGCATCAGCATCATCCCATACATGCAAACCAGCAAATGGATTTCAGATGGGGATTTTATACGTGGCCTTATATGTGATTGCACTAGGCACTGGTGGCCTGAAATCAAGTGTCTCCGGATTTGGAACTGATCAATTTGATGAGAAAGATGAGAAGGAGAAAGCCCAAATGACCTATTTTTTTAACAGGTTCTTCTTCTTCATCAGTACAGGAACCCTGACGGCGGTCACGGTCCTCGTCTACTTACAAGACGAAGTCGGTCGAAGCTGGAGTTACGGAATCTGCTCCGTTTCCATGCTTGTAGCCATCTTGATATTCTTATCAGGGACTAAAAGATACAGGTACAAGAAAAGTTTGGGAAGTCCAATAGTTCAGATTTTCCAAGTCCTTGTGGCTGCAATCAATAAAAGAAAGATGGAACTCCCTTACAATGTTGAGTTATTATATGAAAACACACCAGAGGCTCAAAGAATTCATCACACTGATCAATTCAAGTGAGTTTATCTCTTTGTTCTTCATCAGCGTTTGCTTGGGAATCAAGGCAATGCCTAATCACTTTCTTCATTGTTTTTGTTACCCTAGCTTCTTAGACAAGGCAGCCATTGTTGACGAAGGCGATTTCGAAAGAAACATCGTTTCAGCTCCGAATCCATGGAAACTTTGCTCGGTCACTAGGGTGGAGGAAGTGAAAATGATGGTGGGACTCATGCCGGTATGGGCCACAACCATCATATTTTGGACTACTTATGCACAGATGATCACTTTCTCAGTTGAGCAAGCCTCCACCATGGAAAGATCAATAGGAGGTTTCCTAATCCCCGCCGGTTCCCTCACCGTCTTCTTCGTCTCAGCGATATTGATCACCCTCGCCGTATACGATCGTCTCATCATGCCAGCCTGGAAGAAATGGAAAGGAAAACCAGGGTTCACCAACCTACAGAGAATCGCCATAGGCCTAGTCCTATCAACATTTGGCATGGCAGCCGCCGCACTAGCCGAGAAGAAACGACTAGAGGTGGCGAAAACCGCCGGCGCCACCGCCAAGACGCCGACAACAACGCTGCCTATAAGCGTTTTCTTCCTGATCCCACAGTTCTTCCTAGTGGGAGCCGGTGAGGCGTTCATATACACAGGCCAACTCGATTTCTTCATCACTCAATCACCCAAAGGAATGAAAACAATGAGCACCGGTCTCTTCTTAACAACCCTATCGCTTGGTTTCTTCGTGAGCAGCTTCTTGGTATCGGTGGTGAAAAGAGTCACCGGAGGAAGCAACGGCGGCCAAGAGTGGCTGGCTGATAACATAAACCATGGAAGACTTGATCTTTTCTATGGACTTTTAGCAGTCCTGGGGATCATTAATTTTGTACTGTATCTTGTTTGTGCTATGTGGTATAAACCGAGGAACCAGAAACCTGGTTTACAGATGGAGGCCATTGTTAATGGTTCATCTGCTGAAAATAAGTGCTAGGGCTTTCTTCATAAACACAACGTCGTCTTTTTGGATTAAGAACTGCTTTCCCCTTGTTGTTTTCTTTACTATCAATAGAGAATCATGGTTTCAGTTCATGTATGATTGATTTAGCCAGCAGTCAAAAATAGGCTTAAGGCTAAATGAAGAAGAATGATTTCATGTATTTACTTAGGCTTGCTTTACATGTTATGTTCCATTATTTGTTGGGTAAATTACAAATTTATTAACTGAACTTTACTATTTTTCTTATTTTACTCATCATACTTTAAAAAAATTTAATTTAATCACTGAACTTTGTACATTAAATTTTTTTTGTCACTCCGCCATTAAATTTGTAACGGAGTTATGACCTGGCATTATTAAACAATTTTTTAATCAATAAAATACAAGTCATACAAAAAAACTATTTTCCCTTATTTTCTTTTTTCTTCTTATTTTACTCTCATTTTCTCTTCATTTCTCTACTCAGCCGAAATATAATACCCCAAAATTTGGTTAATGACTAAAATATAAGTTTTGAAAGTTTGTTGGCTAAAATATATATTTTATAAAAGTTTAGGGACCAAAAGTGTAATTTTAAAAAGTTATATGTTTTAGCCCGTAAATGAACGGTTTAGCCTAAAACAAGAATTTTCGTTGTAATCAGATTTTCGGTACGAGATTTGTGTTAAAAACTATAAAGTAATAAAAATCGGTATAGAATTTAAATAGTCTAATCGAATTAGAATTTTACGAAAATTTGAAGGATGATAGATAAGGTTTGGAAATATTATTTCCATATTTTATATCAGACAAATTTAGTACAGAACAAATTAATTTTTTAGATTTGGCGAACATTGGAAATTTAGTGACTAAAATGCAATGTTTGAAAATTACATGGCCATAGTAGAAAGTAAAAGCCAAATTGGTTTATCTTTGAGTATGAAATATTTTAATTAAGGATAATGTAAGTGAATTTAGTAATTATCAAGGTTCATTAATGGTAAAAATGAAATTTCTCATTAATTGAATTTAATATTCAATTATATTGATTTTTAAGCCAAGTGTATGATAAAATCATACTAGATTATTCAAGAAAAATAAATTTTCATTTTCAAATTCTCTCTTGGACGAATCCACCGTAGCTCCCTAAGGTAATTTTTTTTTGATTTTTGAAGTTATATACTTGATTTTTGGATTAAGCTATTAGATAGAGAATTAATCTACATTAAATTATCTATCATTTGGTATAGGTATTACATGGTGAACATGCCTCTTTCATGAGATTGAGTATTAGAGTTTATGTAGGTTTTATGGATTTTGAAGGATTGATGAAAGATTATTATGTTTTTGATGTTGGAGATTAATTCTAGGCATGTGTGATAATTAAAATGATGTGTAAAGCCTTGTAGTTGATTCGACCATGCTAGGGTTTTAAGGAAATATAGGATTTTGATGCAATTTGATGTTGTGATGAATAGAATAACATGAATTTGTTGTAAAGAAGTTGAATTCATGCTTGAAATTGAACAAAGAGTCTAGCCTAGAGAATATGAAGCAGACCATATGGGAAAATTTGGGGGGAAATATTGAAAAATTTCCTATGGTCTAGAATCGATATTAGAAGTGTTCTATGTGATTTGGAGATCAATTTGGAAGCTTGAAATAGTAAAAGGGCTATTTAGCAAGTTTTGAGAATTGTGGGACATTATTGCATAAGTGTGAAAATTTAGGTGTTCAATGTTAATTCGTAATATTGAAATGCTAGAATTTTAAGTTAGAAAGTTGATTGGAACCAAATTATAAATTTGGTAAATTTTCATGGTGGAATTCGAAAAGTCCTATAAATTAGGGGACTTGTTTGTAAGTTTGAGAATGCATTGGTATTATTTTGAAAAAGAACTTACAATGCTGAAAATTTATTTAGTATGCTGATTTTTGAGTTTAAATATTGAATTAGGATTTAATTACAAGTTTATAAAGATGGATAGTTGAATTCGAAAAGTCTAAGAAACTTTGGGATGAAATTTCAAGTTTGTGAATATTAAAGTATTGATTTGAGGATCTTATTAAGATGCTGGAAATTTTAGTAATTAAGGTGAAATGATCCTAATGGTGAAGGACTATTATGAAGTTAATGGAAAAGTTAAGATGAATTCTAGAAAGAATTCGTAAATTGTGGATTGATTGTGGAATTGAAAAAAGTTGAAGGGTTTACGATGACAATAAATATTTTTGGAATTGAATTAATATTTTTGAGAAGTTTGAAATTATGATGGATATAGAATTTAGTTTCATATCGATTTAAGCATCGATTTTATTTCTATCGAATCCTATATTTAAACTTAGATTATATTAGTTCGATACTAACATATAATTTTAATATTTTATGTTATTATATGATGTCGTCAGACCACAATAAATCTAGTGATCCAAGTAACTCGAAAGGGAAGGAAAAAGTGTAGGATTGAGAAGACTATAGTAGAGAAGGTTCAATAGTGCGACAAAGGTGAGTGCATATTTAATTTGTATTTATGTTATTGAATGAACATTGGCTTGCGATGAGCCAATAACGGAGCTACTATGGTAAGAAGTGACTCCTAAATATTATGTGATTTGTGATTCATGCATATAAGTTTATTTGGTAAGCTAATAGAATTATGGAATAAGCTACGGAGCTAATTAAGGTAAGTTGTCTAGAAATTTTGATTTGAATAGTAAGTTTAGAAAATCACCATAAATTATACAAAAGTGATTAGAGGATGAACTCTATATTGTTGGATTCTTACATCAGTCTAGTTTTTTTTTTAAAATAAAAGACTATTGATTTTGAGGTGTACACAAAAAGATATGAATTTTAATCGATGATAGGTCAGAAAACAGGACAACAGATTCTGTTCAAAATAGTTTTTGTAAGTCAACTTTGAAAATTCGCTATAAATTGTACAAGTTTAACTAAGAGAAATACCTTATATGGCTAGATTCTTATTCAAGTCTAGTTTCCATAGGTACAAACGGAATAATTTTTTAAGTATGTATATTAATACAAAATAATACTTCTTTGAAGGTTGTGCAAACTGCCAAAGTATGAAATTTTGATAAATTTAATAGACGAAGTAATTGAAGCAAAGAACTAAACTTAAAGCTTAATGAGACTTATAATTTTGATTTATAAAACGTCAAAGTGAGTGCAGTTTCTTTATTTAATTATTTTGTACAAGGACGACTTGCGATAAGTCAACCACATATTATTTTTCAAGTATGTTTTATACTTTAATTATGGATTATTTTTCAAGTATGAACTGCCCAAGTTCTATTTTGACGATGATATAATAATAATAATTCTGAATTTGAAATATTGATTATGAAACAAACAATATATGTTCTAAAAGCCCATTGTATGTTGCATTGAGAGTCATATGTACAATTGGCATACCATGAGGTGGAGTGATTATGATTATGATCTGATACATTTTTGTACATGATGTGTAGCACCGTTGGTGCAAATGATATGAATGCACTTGGAGTGCATATTCTGATTGCGATGTTAGTACTGAAGTACTTATTGCTCATACTCATCTGACTCATGTACCTTGCATTCTTTTACGTATACATGGAGCTATAAAAGTAATTGTGAAATTTACTATAGATATATGAAAGAAAGGAATATGGAAATGAAATGAAATGAAAGTTAAAAAATATGTATGAATAAAAAGAACAAGAATTATTTGTTATATTTAATGTTGACTTACACGATTTTTGATAAAATCATGAAATAATGATTTTCAGGTTTCAAGAGGAAAACGACATATATAGTTCGGTTTGAAGTTTTAATGTTTTTCTTTTAAATTATAGTTTTATGTCTATATTACATTATGATATTAATATTTTTTTTTTCTTACCTTTAGCTATGTTTTTGTCTCACTAAGTTTTACTTAGCACGTGACGATTTTCATTCGTAGGTTCAAATAGAGAAAGGAATGTGAAGTGAGGAGCCTTTTGAGCCTCTTTTCAGAAAATCATACATAATATAGTATCAATAATACATCTTACCTTTAGCTTATTAGTGACATGTATATTATATCTATATGTTGATTTATCATAATTGTATTAAATGGTTTGTAATAGTAAACTAGGACAATTTATTTTTTACTAGTCTAATTATATTCGTATTTATAATTGAATAGTATATAATTAGGTACATTTATATTTTTAAAATGTTTTTCTAATTAAGCAGTATTTAGGTAGTTTTTTAAATATTTTATTGAATATAACATTAAATTGCATAATTATTGTCTAAAATTGGATTCATTTTGAAAATTTAACTATTATTTTATGATTTTACGATTGATAAAATAATTTAAAGTTGAAAAATGAAAGTTTTGAAATGAAACAAATTTTTAAGTGTTTATGATTAATGAATGTCTGTAAAATTGATGTAACATCATTAACTCGTATTTTGAGTTGTATACGTGTTATGGGTTTACACGGAATGAATCCAAATTTCAAACACCGATGACCGAGCAAAGAAAAGAAGAAAAAAAAAAGGATTTAGTAAAAGAAGCAAACTGCAAAAAAAATAAAAAAAAGGCTCTTGAGAACCCAATATAATCTCATTGTTCTATAATCTTCGGTAACCTTCAACCACCATTGGATACCCCTACCACCCACAGTACATCCACCCTAATCACCATCAACCTTTAGCATTTTCACCTTAAAAAGCTCATTAGAATTACCACACCCATACCCACTGCCACATTACCATCTACCCGTATAACCTTCAAAATCACCCTCTACCCAACACGACCATCATCACATCATCACCTTGAAGCTACCAAAACATCTCAATTCCTAAACCTCTTCATTAATTTTCTCTAATCCAAACAACTAAACCCAAATAAAAATGAACCTGCAAAAAAGGGAAAAAAAGAAAAGAGAATTAATAAGAAGTCTACCCATGTTTAGCTAGAAGTAGTCACCAATGTTCAGAGGATTATCTTCTAGATCCGAACAGTGAGGAGACATGCAGTGACGAGAAGACTAACATGCTTCCATTTGGGTTCAATCTGACGATGAATGAAGGAGATCGAATGACGAATAGTCAAAAGGTCTCGATTAAAATTCATGGTGTTGAACCAAATAGAAACAAAAATAGGGGGGAAAAGATGCTTCTCTGATTTCA